ATATATTTATCCAGTTTTATCCACATACATACCTTGACTTGCGGCGATACCAGCAGAGTCCGGCTCCAATGACGGCGACCAATAAAAGTACACCCACAACCACTCCGATGATTATGGGCAGGCTGCTGCTAGACGTGGCTTCAAAAGGACTGGTGGGATCAACTCCTAATGCACTGTTGGCGGTAATGTTTGTACCGGTTGCCACCTGATCATGTATGTGTTTGGGCATGGGGATACGGAAGTTTAGAATAAATATATGTGCAAGTTTATGTCTGTGTGTATGTGAATCTGTGTGTATGCGTGTAAATATGTGTATATTCATGTGAGTAGGTATGTGTATGTGAATGCATATATATATATATATATAGATATATATATATGAGTGCATAAGTGTACCGCTATGTGTACGTGTGTGTACACAATATGTATGCGAAAGTATACACGCGTGATTTGTATATACACTATGTGGCTTGTGCTTGACATGTGTAAATTGGTTAGTACAAATATAGTGTGTGTGTGTGTGTATGTGGTTAATGACTGCTGCCATGCAACCTCATGGTCAGAGTAGTGCTGACTATATACAATCCAACATACGCCAGCACATCAAAAGACATGCACGTATTCATTCGGCAGTATGTACGTCAGCAAAACAATATACAAAGTAGCATGTATGTATTAGTATGTATGTATGTAGGCAACATACAAAGTAGTAGGTATGTATTAGTATGTAAGCAATATACAAAGTAGTATGTATGTACTAGTAGGTATGTATGTAAGCAATATACAAAGTAGTATGTATGTACTAGTATGTATGTATGTAAGCAATATACAAAGTAGTATGTATGTACTCGTATGTATGTATGTAAGCAATATACAAAGTAAGTATGTATGAATGAGTATGTATATATGTACGCAATATACAAAGTAGTATGTATGTATACCACCACGCCCTACGCGCATCAACCTTCTAAATGTGAACTATGCATTTCTAGGGGTTTCATGTTCCAGGGCTAGCTAGTACCAATACTGTGTGTGTTCCCGTCTGTACGTTCGCACAATCGTTTGAATCTGTTGAATTGTATAGCTCTTGCATTGCACTGCACGTGTGTGTTGGTCGTAGCGTGAACAGGCACATGCACGCTTTCAAACACTTGCTTCGTCTGTTATCGACATGGGAATGATCACACATTGAATGAACGTAGCATGTGTACGGACAGTACCTGGATGTATTTGTGCGTACCATAGACAGAGTGCACGTGTTCATTTATGTGTGTGTGGTACTTCACATACAATCGAGCTCGCACAATGCTTGTTCGCATGACTAAAGTACAGTATGACAATGTATTATCTATCACCGTTACCGATATCTACGAACACTGCCATTCCGCTCGATGCTCAATCATCTATAAACATGGGCACATACGTGTACAAATGCGCATAAATAATGTGAACTAATCAAGTAATCACCCATATACGCGAGTATTCATGTACTGGCATGCAAATAAGTATCTAATGTGCTTACATTCGTAAACGGGTAGACAGTGGTATTTTGGCCAAACGTGACATCATCGCCCACCACGGAATTTGCCTGGATAGACACCTGCGAGGAGTAGAGCGGAGCGACTCGGAGTTGAGTGGAGTTGAGCGGACGTTTGGAGTAGAGTGATTGTGGGTGTGGTAAAACAAACGATCGTGATATCTACAATGCCCCACTTTCGACCAATAATTTCGGCACGATCAAGTCTAAATATAACGACTAGCTAACTCTAGGGGCCTGAAAGAAAAAGAGCATGATATACAATTAAATATACCTCTACAGCCTCAGAGCTATACCACATTGAATAGGGAGCATTATTCATAATTATATATACCTCTACAGCCACAGAGCTATACCACATTGAATAGGGAGCATTATTTATAATTATATATACCTACGCAGCCACAGAGCTATACCACATTGAATAGGGAGCATTATTTGTAACTATATATACCTCTAGAGCCACAGAGCTATACCACATTGAATAAGGAGCACTATTTATAATTATATATACCTACAAGGCCACAGAGCTAAACCACGTTGAATAGGGTGCATTATCTATAATTATATATACCTCTACAGCCACAGAGCTATACCACATTGAATAGGGAGCATTATTTGTAATTATATATACCTCTAGAGCCACAGAGCTATACC